AATTTCAGGTTTTAGGAAATCTTTTCATTTTATAAAATAGAGCATTAAATTTAAGAAATAACGTCCAAAACGGCACTCAAAACGGACTTACGGTTTGAAAGTTATGAATTTTCAAAGTTTAATATTTTTCAAAAAGTTACAGCAGAACCCGGTTCCTACATATGCAGGAACCGGTTCCTGCGAAGTTCAAAAATCACGCTTCTGGAAAAATGTATGGGAACATGGTTCCTACCTATACAGGAACCAGTTCCTACGTGCATTTTTGCCAGTTTTTATAAACACATAGTGGAACCCGAATCCTCCCCACTGGGAACCGGTTCCCACGACCTGCATAGTCAAATTCTGCACTTTTGACAGCATTTATTCATTCTAAACCAATTCCAAACATACCCATACGAATTTCAACATGAGAAACACCAAAACACATCCATTTTGCACCATTATAACATCAAACAACATTATTTCATCATTCCTTTTTATCATCTGACACCCTAATGGTTTTCAACCTACAATTCGACGCAATAGGGACAATTCTACGGAACCCTAGAATTCCAAACCGGGATTCCCTAATATACTATGATCCATACTATTGAATATCTAAACTGATAATACGAATTAACTAATCGAAATCACCCCTTACCTTGTGGGTTCTTCGAATTCTAACGCTTCCGGTTTTCTCCTTCTTTTTCCTCTTCTCAAATGCACGTATGATGAATATTCCAAAATAACTCTCTTTCTCTTCTTTTTCCTTTTAATACTCCTTTTATTATTCCAATAAAATAATTAAATTAGTAATTAGTAAGAGTAGAGTATTTTACCCCTCACACCCTCTAATCACTCTTCACACCACCAATACTTCTTTCCTTTAATTAATTAAATTTATTCCAATAATCCAAAAATACCAATAATTAAATTTCCAATTAAATTATTAATTAAAAATTCTAATTATTTAATAATTGGATTATTTGGGGTGTCACACCTTATACTTCCACCCCTTTACAGTCTTCAATATCAAAACCGAGTGCCCTTGAATAGGGTATACATCTAGCATGTGCATCACAATCAGAAGAGATATATGTAGGAAGAGGACCCCAAAGATCATAACTTTACCAATTGAACTTCCACCAGGCGAGGAAATAGCTAGATGTAATGCACTGGGATCGCATCAGCATGCTTATCATGCTTCTTTTGTCTTTTCTTAAAAGCTTTACCCCAAGAATTCACTTAGGGAACAAAGACTGGTTGTTGGCGAACAGATCAGGGAATACAAAGCTGTGGAGAGTGCTTCTGATTAAATAGTCAGATGCCCCGACGAGGTAACCACATATGATGTTGGTATCATGATTTAGAAGGGAATTTATAGACGGTACCTAAGTATAGGGTCAAACCCACTGAAGCTCAAAAAAGTGTAGAAACCAATGAGAATGAAGCACTTGATATAAGATCAACTCCTTTTCAGCCGTATTCTAATCTCGCTGGTAAAACAAGTTTATTGAACTCACATGGTAAATGGGAACCATCTACTGATAAGATGTTCTAAGAACTCAAGATTGTGTAGCACTCCATCGATGAAAGAGATCCCCAAAAGATGAGGAGGAGAGAGAACCTCTGCTGCGGTAATAGGTGTAAGATTGTTGACATTATTATCAGAGCTTCTATGACCTGGCTCACCTGATTCTTCAATCGATTATCTCCCTTCTCGAAGAATTCCGACCATGGGCCAAAGCTTGCATGTATACCACAATTATCCCCATCGAGATCTTCGTATTGGTCAATCCCCCACGGAGTCATCCCATACCGGTCTCTGAATATGTACAGTAAGAAATTAAGTCTGAACCTCTGAGGAGAACACCTTGTCTGAATAAGAATCCCTAATATACATGTACATGTTATCGATGCATGAATGTGCATGGGGTGCATGAATGGATGCCATGTCATGTTCTGTCATTTCCAAGGAATTTACATGCTTTGATTTTGATTTTATGCAAGTAATGGATGTAAGAGTTTAGCACAAGACTTACAAATATGAATCCCTAGAAATAACAGAGCATGTATGTTAAGCATGTGGTTAACCATGTTATGTATACAAAGACATGGGATCAAAGTTCCATCATTTCTGAATATGGTTGTTGCACTGTTCCTGAACCATATGAATATCATTAACTCAAGGGTCCAACATAGCTTCCGCATATACAAGAACCAAGTACCATGCAGATCATCACTTGTACGGGATAAAGGCTTCTGGAACATCGGATACTGTTGAGCCTTTTCTGATCATGTTACGAATACCAAGATCGAAGGCTCGAATGAACCTCCAAATAACAAATCAGGAACTCAGAAGATAAATCTGAGAACCATACGGCCACCAACAGAATATAGAATCTGAATAAGTCACCAACAATACATGTACCTATGAAGAAATATTCATGCCCCACTCACGGGTAAAGACTAGGTCAGGGTAAGGCAAGGGTAACTCAGAATCATTGGTACGCCTGAAGCCACTATCGTTGAAACATCTACAAGAAACAATAGCACCTCATTTGTAACCTCCTCTAAGCATGGAAGACATGACAGCAATTGTGAAACCTAAGTAAACTAGTCGTTCATGTTCCACTCTATTCCTAGGGTTCCAATGGTTGTCACTTGGCTTGGGTATTGGGCCTTTTACCTCATAGTAACACCCACCCAATCAAGAAGAAGATCCAGTACATCAGTAGTATAAGGAAAACAGTAAAATGAAATGCATACATATGCTCAGGTATATACAAAATTAATAAGCCATAAAGCGTATAAATAAACACCCAAAGAGAAGAAAATAAGAGCTAGGAGCGACTCTGAGATGGACCAGCAATTGGTTGAACTCTCCCCAATAAAGTCGTCAGCTGAAACAACCGACTGAAAATCATCAAACAATGAAGTCGCCATTGAAAGTTTTTTATCCCATATGGAGGGAAAGTTAAACATCGAGAAAACCTGATAATGGAGAAGTCATGGCATTGCAACTAAGAGATCGGGTAAGGGAGTATGTTACACAAGGGGAAGGTATTAGCACCCCCACACGCCTGTAGTAATCTACGGTATCCACTCTTGTTATTTATCTTATGGGTGTGTTTATTCTATGCTTACTATTTATTACTGCTAAGGAACAATGCATGCAAAAGAAAGGAGAAAATAAAGTTGTACTCACTTGGGCCCTACCCAATGCCTACGTATCCTTTTTGAGGAATTAGAGTTACTATAGTTCGGCTCACATGTTTTTGTTTGTTTTGTGTTTTTTATGAACAATGTTAATTCCGCCTTCTGCCGCAGCTTGACCTTTGGAGACTCGCGCGTTGCCACAAAAGTAAATTAATCATGTGCTTACTGAAAATGGTTTTGAGTTACGCCCTCAAGGCAAGATTCCAAGTTTGATTGGTTTGTATTTTATTACCTTGAAAAAGGGTTTAAGTATGATTATCATGTTTTAGGATTTTCCAAGAAAGACAGTTTTTGCTTTAAATGTATATGCAAAAGGGGAAGAAAAGAGTCTAAGGGAGACTAGCCTATTTTTAAACCTAATGTTATCATACAATGGTAGTCCTAAGGTTTGGATTAACAAAAGGGAAACCTCTACCTAATGTTAGCATGCATGGTTCGCCACCTAAGGTCTAACTTGCATCCGAAGGGAACAAGTACATCCTAAGGGAACATGGTATGGAAAGAGAGTAAACAAACAAGCTCGAAAGAGAACACACATAAAATGGTAAGGAAAAAAATCCAAATGCTTTAGCCAAGGGGAGCGTATCACCCGAGAAAAACAAGCGGGAGTGGGATGTAAAACAAAAATGTGATGCCAAAGCGACTGAACACCTAACCAAGATATAGGAGATCGAGGTAGGCGACAAAATACAATATGAACGATCATAGAGTATCAACATCGGCCAATGCGAACTCCTGACAAAGCGTGAGGGTTTAATTAGAAAACCCTTCCCCACTTGACGACTCGATAACAAGAACAAGCACAACTCCAAAGCATCATGGTGCGTCACGAGCTAAGGATGACACGAATGAAATTACGGGGGTTGATTGTGAACCCTCCCCGCTTGCCTCTTTTTGAGAACTTATCATCTGTACATATGCGGGCACAAGTATAAACACACGTGCAGAATACCTACTTCAGAGGTATGGTTTTAAACAACCAGAAATAGCAAAAAAAATGCACACAATGCGGAATTGCCCTAAACGGGTCTTTAAATAAACCAGAGAGGCTTCTGACATGATCAACAATAGAAATCCCCTTCATACATCTCTACCCTACTTCCCATGGCATCAGAATGCAATAAAACCCTACTTCTCATAATCTCTAGAAGAGCGGTTAAGAAGTATGATAAAGTGCGGAAATGAAGAATAAAATAAGGACACGATGATACTGAACGCAGAAGGTTCGTCGCCTCTTCAAAATAATGCAAGCAAAGAGAAAACTCTACAGAAGCTATTTCGCCTAAGTGATCGAACAAATTGATCTCCAAGCATCCCATATCAAAAAAGTTACATCAACATTCTACCAAAACATCTTAGCTAAAAAATGATAACGAAAATGATTATCGAACATGAAAATAATATAAAACTCTAATGAAAATTCTAAAGAGGTCCTGAAGAATTCTAAAATGTTCTAGTATTTTTGTATCATTTTTATTATCAATTAAGAGAATAAAATTAAACTAGAAGAGAATACTAAAATAAAAAAGGAAGTTAAAAGAGTCAGGGGGTGTAAACTGTAGAGAGTTGTGTTGTATAGCCACCAAAAATTTGGGCGTTAGGCCCATGCGAAAGGGCCCATGAAACAATTTTTTTTATTGGCAGCAATTGATTTCTAGAAACTATTCAGCCCAAAGTATTTCGGTCAAGATGCCACTTCCAGTCCAATTTCCTTAAACACTTTCAATATAACAGCAAATCATTATTAGCATAATAAAATGAAGATTAAGGAAAGAGAGAATATCTGAGGCCCAATTGGAACGATGCGTTTAGCTGATTTCAACACCTTGAAACTTTTCCTCTCTTATGTTACTGCGATTTTCAGCGAGAATCTTCGTCGCCACCATTGCCTTGAACCTCCCTCCCAATCACCGCATGTTGAATACGAACCCTACATTATTCTGTTCACCTATAATGATTCTTACATCAATTTCTCACAGAAGCATCTCATATTTCCAGATCAGTACATTGGGAACAAAAAACCTAAGTTTAAGGGATACAAAATTCAGCAAGAATCAAGAGGAATCTGCGTGCATCCTTCAATTCACTCTAAACCGTGCAAGAAGATGCTAAAGGGTTGTGACACGAAGGCTTCATAGGAATCGTTATTGCTCCGGCACAACGGTGAAGTCAAAATTTTCGGCAAGCTCTGATTTGCTTCAACTCTCAGCTTCCTATTTCACTTCTCTGTCGGCCTCCGACGAACCTCAAACTTCTGTTTGATCTCAATCTCCTTCTTTAATCGGCGCCGTCGTGAACAAGTAATATGCCGCCTCTCATTATCATCTTTGATTCAATTATCTACGTCTATTTCTACTTTAATTCCCGCATTATTGTTGTTATGAGAATCACATTGATGAAGTGGTTCATGCGCATTCTCACAAAAACACAAAGATTTTGAGTGGGATGCGTGTGATATCGTTGCGGAAATAGTAGTGCTTAAGGTTACCAATTGAAGGCACATTGATGCTGCAGGTGCTTCTTGATAATTGAAGCAAGGATAAGTATCCTTGAAGATGCAGATTACAGGGATGATATTCAAGACTTGCAGAGGCAATGAAGATTGTTATGGTTGCGGTTGTGGATTCTCCGAGAGAAATCAGGGAGATGAGGGTGAAGTTTGTTAACGGTTCATGAAGATTGAAGAATGGTCCCTCGAGAGAGAAAGATTCAGAGGTTTCTGGTGAGTTTTTTCTTATATGGATAATGTTGTCTCTGTGTAAGCCGTGAATGAATCCCCTGTGAGAATTCTCTTTCTGTTATATTTATTGAATTCTGTTAGGAAGTTAGTTAGAAATAATTAGGGGTTAGAAAGTTAGTTTGGATTTGTTTTGTTATTTCTGTTATAGTTGTTTCAGAATGAAGGAAAAGTTAGTTAGGAGTTAAATTGTGCTCTTCTGTTATTGTAAGCTAAAATGCCTAAGATGAATGAACATTGAGTTAGCAAAAAACTTTGGTAAAAGGGACAGAACTGTTAGAAACAAATGCTAGTTGTTAGTAATTGTTTTGTTTATCAATGTGCACTTTTCAACTGGTTTTCTTTATTGAACTTAGAATATTATTGTGAACTGATTGTGTAGGAAATGGATATCTTTGATTAATTGTTTGACTTGAACAACTTCAGGGCCAGGTTTTGACGTGTTTGGATGGTTTCATGATACTGATTGGTTTTGGACCGTTTGGTGTCTGTGTTTGGTTAGTAATATCGTTTCTGATTTTCTGTTTAGAGCTGAGGCAATCTGTTTTCTTCATGTGCAGGATTTTAGTTTGTAGTAGTAGCATATTTGTGAATTGTTTGGACTGCATGATAGTAGTTTCTTAATGATTAACTGTTTTTTTTCTGAATGCAAGTTTTGTTGATGTGCAACAGGGCTACAATGGTTTAGCGATAACTCTTGAGCATGAAGGTGAAGAATGAAACAGGGGAAGAGATAAGGCATAAAGAGTGATCCTTGGAGTTTGAAGAATAATAGTTACGACAAGGCAATGTGCAACTTTAGTAGCTTAGGACCTTAGTAATTTTGTGTAGTTGTTTCTTTGGAATGTAATATGAATTTGCCATGGTTGTAAATGTAAATGAATTTGGCTTTCATAATGTCTTGTAACAGGATTTGAAATGCATGGAATTTTACTTGGATGAACTTTGTAAGGACCCCGAATGGATTTAAATGTATATGGATGCTTCTTGATTTTTGCAACTTGAGTGAATATTTGTAGTGAGCATGAACTTGAATAAAGTTGAATAGCTTTTATAATGAAATTATTAAGTGTTGAACATGATGAATAAGGTGAAGATGATTATGATGAATGAATGCCTTGCACTTGTACTTCATTACTTAAATCTCAAGAAATCCATTTCTTTTCCAACCTTAAAAACTCCCAACAACTTTGATGAATTGAACCAAGTTTGAATCCATGGAATCATTTAAATCCACTTCAACCTTAATCCAAATTAGCTCGCCTGACAAGCAACAAATAATCTGAGAGAATGATGCATTGATTATGATCCACATCTTGTACTATGTCTCGATTGTATGAGCAATAGAATAACAATGCCTTGGATCCTTGAAGAAGATATTCAAGACGACTTTGAACTTAGACCCTAACTCACTTAGTCTTTATTTAAACCTTTAGTGAAACCCTAATGATCCTGCCCTTGATGAAGATGACAACCTTGTAGCTTAATGAGAAAAAAGAAGTTCTCAATGACCGTGAATGCAAAACCCTAGCTTCACACCATGATTGTTGAATAAACTATTTGATTCAAGCTTGAATAAAGATGAGAGCCTAAAAGCATAATTAAACCCTAGTTCATCAATATCCTCGATCACATGCCAAATTATTGAATAATGATGCATGATGTTGTTAAATGGCCTAATGGATGGTATATACAGTGGTGAAAATGAGATGCATAAGCCAAATGATCCTTATAAAGGGGTAGGACAAATTTGGGGTATTACATTTGCCCCTATTTAATCATCTTAAACCTGAAAGTACAATTGGCGCGTGCCTCTAGGAAGTTCGAGGTAAAAGATGATTAAATATCAATGCCAAAAATTTGTTCTGAAAGAAAGTGTGAGTGGGTTATTTATTTTTGTAATACCTACTGGGGAAAGAAATTTTTTTTCGTTTTCTTGGTGAGAAGACGGTGATCGGACTTGTAACGTAGCAACAAAGGCTAATACAAGAGAAAGGCTGACTTGTAACGTAGCAACAACGCTAATATAGTGAAAGGTAACGTAGCAGTGATTCCAATACAAGAAAAAGGTTGGTTTTTTAACATAGTGTTGTACCCCAAAATTTTCCCTCTCTTTTCTCAATACATTTCTCACAAAGATCTTTAATGGTTCAAGCTTGCACAAGTATTGACTAGGTTAAGTCATCTCCTCAATACTGATACTTCAAATTAGGGTTTGAGTTTGCACAAGGACAATTGGACTTCTAATAATTCAAATGACTTTCATGTATCATTATGGACCCTCAATATTGTTCATGTCAAGTTTCAAGTCTTGGATCACAAAATTGCTCAGTTAATTGATCAGATGACCTAAAACCAGTTGTATTGGGTAAAAAGTCAATTACCGTCAACCTACAGTCAAACTTCAAGATTTTTGACCAATATCAACATTTTGAAGTTATATGTATCAATTGATCAAGTTTGGATCACAATTCCCCAAGAAAATTGTTCAAATCGCCAAAAGGGCAAAATTATCAAAATTAGGCTTTTGATTGTATTTGAATGATCAAGGGTTTTTGACCTAATACATAATCCAATGGTTTGAAGCACAATCTCTATGATTCAAATACAAAATGTTTACCTAATTTCATTGCTCAAAACATTTCTCAATATCAATTGATTGATAGTGGAAATTCTGTCAACTAATGAAAAGTCAACTGACACACCAAAAGTCAAACTTTGACCTTTTGATAAAAATTGAGTTTCAAAGATCACAATTCATCAAGACATTCAAAAATATGAATCTTGATCATCAAGAAATCAAGAAAGTCAAAAGTCATTTTGAAAAGTCAAAGTTTTCAAGACTTAGAAAATTTTCTAAGTGTTTTAAGTCTTATTTTTTCATGACTTCATGCCAACTTTGCACCAAGATGCAAGATGATTCAAAGAAAACTTCCAACATGAAAGTTGTATATATTGATGAGATCTACAACTTCGCTTTACTGATCAAGTTATAGAAATGCATGGTTTTTGAGTTATGAATTCACAAAGTCATGCACTTTTTCTTAAAACACTTAGTGAAAATTTTACCTAGTTTAGGCAGATTTTTGACCTAACTTCATGGCAATTTTTCACATAGTTACAAATTGATTTTTTAAAAATGTCAAACATAAAAGTTGTATATAATGTTCTAAGATTTTCAAAATGTCAAATAACTCAATAATATCATTTTTGAGCTAAGATAATCGAAGAGATGAAGTTAGGGTTTCAAACATGAATTATAGGTCAATTTTGTGATGAACACTTGACAAAATCTCAAACCATGTTGTATAATATTTGCTTTGAAGGCCTCAAACTTGTGCTTAACTCCATAATTAATGGTTTACACAACTAATTGAGCCATTATCCAATTGATTCAATCATTATTCAAACTAATTTGCCATTTTCGGATGAAAGTAACCATGTCATTCTTGCAAAGTGACTTTTATACACAATGTCAACTCTCCTTGAGCCCATACATTGTTGCTTCTGATTCCAAAACATTTCAAAGCAAGAAGTAACATATCTACAGCCTTCTAACCACCCTACCAGCCCTTGTACTTCACATTCAAACTATGCATTTCATGTTTGCTTCAAAATCAAGTCACATGGCCACAACATGTGATTCTTGATTTTCTGATCACTTGAGCTCTCCAAAACTTTTGACTATAAGTAGAGACACTATTTGTGATCTAAGACACAAATTAGCAAGCACTCAAACTCACCCAAACTCCCTTAAAACCAGAAATTTCATAAAAACTCTGTTGTTACTACAGTTCTGCCCAAGAACTTCCATCTCTTAAACCACTCGTGTGTTTCCTCTCCAAATTATCTCAAAAGCTTCTTTACATTAAACACAACTCATCCCAACACCTGTTACACAACTGTAACTCCATCTTCACCATCCTCCATAACTAAAAATAGAGTGTTGCACTTTGACTTCTATAGCACGATTCAGCCATCCATAACTCAAGCTAAGTATTGCTTTAGCTTCTTAGAGGTTCAAGGAAGCTAACCAGATCATTGCAACACCTTGAAAGCTGCTCAAACTCAAAACACGATCTGCATCTGCAAGATGAGTTTACTGAACTTCTATCTCTTCATACAAGCATCATTTGATTCTGATTTGTGAAGATAAAATGTAGATATCATAGCCTTGAAACTGACCATGTCCTTGAAATTCATTTATATTGCATGAGTAGTGTGAATTTTAGTCTTAAACTTTCTGGAATATTTAGGTCAGTATTTGGTACCAATAAAACTCGTGTTCATCTTTGAGAGTTAGTTTAATTAGTTTACATATTTGGAATGGTTGAGAAATAAACAAGTTTGATGTTTGCATTTTTGAGAATGGTTGAGAAATGAGCAAGTTACAGAATTCAAATTTGTTGTTCATGAAAGCTGACGCGAGGAAGAAGATGATACAGGCCGAGGATGGGTTTTCAAATATATATATTTATGGTTTTGTATTAATAAACGGATGTATCATCACCCTAGTGGTTAAAGCGCGCGCATGTTACCTCTTGGACCTGGGTTCGAGCCCCAACGTCTGTTTTGCATTTTTTTCTTTTGTTTTCACTTTTTGTTTGAAACAGTGCGCCTTAGGCCTCCCTTGGAGTGGGCCTTGTTCCATTTTACTCCCCTAACACCCCTGTCTACTAACAACAAAGCAACCCATTATTTTTTTTTTCTTTTTTTTTTCTGATTACAAAAAATTAAAATGGGCCTAATCACAAAACAAAATTGTTTTTACTTCTAAACCACTTTTCCCATTTTTACACCCGCTGACTTTATTTTTATATTTTCTTTTTTTTTCTTCTTTTTTTCTTTATTTTTATTATAATTAATGTTATTATTTTTATTATTATTATTATTATTATTATTATTATTATTATTATTGTTATTATTATTATTATCATTAATCAAAAACCCCAAAAATATTTTATATTTTTAGAACATTTAGCATTTTAATTTTATTTCTTTTCAAACAAAAAGACCATAAATATATTTACTTATTAAATTTATTTTATTTTCTTAATTAAATCATTTAGACTTTGGTTTATTTAAATCTTTCTTTTCATTTAATCAACTTAGAACTTAGGAATTATTTTTAATTTTTTTTTCTTTTACCAACATAAAAAAAAACTTTTCATAAACACCCTAAAAATATTTGTTTTCTTAATTATTTTACTTCTACTCCTTAATTAATTTAGGTTTTGTTCTCTTAAAGTAATCTAGACTAATTAATTATTTTCTTTTTAGTTTAATTAGGTTAAACCCTTTCACAAGAATCCAAATAAAAACAAATTTTATTTTTCTTTCATATTGCCTTGACATTCTTGTACATTATTTATTCAAGATCAATATGGTTGTAATAGTAAATTAGGTTTTTATTTACTTGCTCCTCCATTTGTAAATTTGTACCCCCATCCCCAAATGATGTAATAGCGTAGAATTTTACATTTTCGGAATTTATCGCTTTCAATATAAATGTTAGTAATTAGGGTTTGTATGTCAAGACTAAAATCAACAAGTAGAAAACACTAATTCAAAGACAAAAAAGCATTAAAACAAACATTTTGCACACTTGCACCTCTAGGGTTAACCTCACTTGTTGCCTAAAGATAAAATAGTCATGTTACGTAAATATGGGATATTTTAGCAAAAACAATAAAAAACAAGATCATAGTTCCTCGATGACCCTTCAATGTTTCCTTCGGTAAA